TCCATGGAGAATGAGACCAGGTTGCTGGTGGTGGACCATGAGACACATGAAAGTCTGCGCAGCCTGCGCCTCACAGCCACAGAGGAGATGGCCGTCTTCAGTGCCGGTCCTCCTTCCTCCTCCTCTCCACCAGCCTCCCCTTCTCCTCCCCCGTCCTCGGTCCCATCCTCCCCCAGCAAGAAGCGGGAGAATGGCTCGGTGTCGAAGCAGCCAGTTACGCTGAGCAGCCAGGTACAGAAGCCCACCAGGAGGTCACCGTCAAAGGCTGCGAAGAAGGTAAGCTGGCCCTCCACCAACGCACCAAACATGACTTTGTTTGTTTTATTTGACTGTGAGGACTCTTAACTCTCACATTCTTACAAAAAAATGAGTGAACATTGTAAGGTCTCAAAAATGGTTCTGTGTAATCCCTTTGTTCGTTCAGAATTTGGACTTAATGGTGTGTGATTTCTAAGGTGGGTCTATAGGGCGTATTGTGAGATTCCTCCGAAATGTATCTATGTATAGGAATACTTAAACATTTTGGAAAAAATGCTATACATTTTCTTGCCAAGAGTTAGATGACAACATCAGCACCACTCTCATGTCCATAGCAAATTAGCTTAGCATAGCATAAAGACTGGAAACAGGAACAGCTCTGTCCAAAGGTTAAAAAGAACGTTGCATCTCTAAAATAACTAACATGTTATATCTTGTTGTTTAATCAGTGCAAAAAACGAACAGTGAAAAAGACATGTTGGGGTTTGTAGAGGGTTATGTGTAGTAATATTTCTTGGCCAGAGGTGGAGTCGCTTCCTGTAGTCCCCCCTGTAAAATTAGTATTCTCATCGAAGTCTTAGCAAGAAAAAAAGTCTGTGTATTTCCTGAAATGTCGAACTATCCTCTTAAGATATGAGGTGAACTGAAATCGAACACAACAATCAGTCAGTCCCTTTTTTATCAATGTAAACAAGATGTTTAAGACCTCACCAACACTCCTCCTCCTCCTCCTCCTCCTCATCCTCCTCCTCCTCCTTAGCAGACCAACAAATGACCAGCTTTAGCCTGAAAACACAAGTTTTCTCAGACACTCAAACAAAGCATTCTTAGAGATTTGTCATCTCCCAAAACCCAAGAGTTAAAAATACTAAACGCATTAGCAAACAGATTGCAGGTAGTGAGTCAACTCTTTGAACAGACTCGGCTCAGCTCTCAGATGCTTTCACCCCAGACTTGTTTTCTGGCTGCTTTGCCAGTTTCAGATTAGATTAGTGGATGTCATGCAAGTTTCCATCCTGTACTGCTGACTTCCATCATGCATGTGTGTGTGTTTATGAATACGTTTTTGTGTGCGTCCGGAGGGAAGAACATGGCTAGCTGAAAGTGTTCCAGATGTTGTGTTAGAGTTCAAAGAGAGCAAGAGAGGTCAGAGGGTGTGACCCCTCAGAAGTTAGGAATCTGGCAATTGACAACGCAATGACTCTGCAGAACAGGAAATCCACAGAAATTCTAAAAAAATATATGAATAAAGATGACTGGCACGAAGATTTTCTGCATGCCTTTCTAATAGATATTGCATTTATTGTGAAATGATAATAAGAATGTTTTTTTTTACAGGCCAGTGACATCTAATCTTCCTGTGTTTATTTACATATGCTCTTTGTCACAGCTGGTTGCATAATGCTCAAATACTCACTTGATACATTTTATTTTATTTTATTTTTTTCATTCACTGTTTGATTATTCCATGTTGACATGGAAAACAGGATGCGTTTCCGTCCGCTGTGTCTCTCCTGGAACGCAAAGATCTGATCAGCTTTGGTTTCACATGGTCCCTGACAGCGAGACAAGGCTGCTCAACTTCTGCTCTCTGCATTTACACAACATGTGTTTTCACTTAGGTTTGCCCTGCCAATATGTGAGCGGCACTCAGGCACTATTTCTACAAGAGCAGTGACATGGCCAATCAGTTAAAATCTTACTTTTGTGCGTGTTTGTTTGGCTCTGGCTTTTGCGACCTGTGGGGAGAAATCCCAGTGCTTGGTGGGGCCGGATTGGCCCAGCTAAGGCTCAGGAAATGCTTAGAGGTCTCTCGTTTCTCTCTTTCTCTCAGACTTTAATGACTCTAATGAAAGAATGGAAAGAAGGTTTAGCAGGATGAGCCAAAAGGCATTAGCAGTGCAAAAGCAGGAAAATTGGAGGACAATATGAGCTGTTGTGGGAACAATGATTTGACCATAAACTACCTCCCTTTTGAGCTGGAGCACTGAAACCTTCCTCTGTCACTTAGTTAATACCTTGATAGTCTGCAAAGAGTTGGATGTCTCTGTTTCCTGTCCCATCTCAAAGGAAGCTGTTCCACCAGATATATGCAGACTCAGTACTGACAGTGCATGCTGATACAGCATATTATGTCTGGTGTGTAGTAGTCATTCATCCATGTGGCTGGCACGGAGCTTTGGCAATCAGTGCAGTGCAATTACCACGACAAAAGCAGAGGGGAAAACAGATTGATCAGCGATTAAACCATTAATCACCCAGTGAACAATCTTGACTTGGAAGAATAATGATAAAGATTCATTGCCCCTCCTAATTCTTTGTCTGGGTGTTTGCCTTTCACAGCTGGAAGAGTTGACTCAGTTTGCAGTGAGATGTTTCATTTTGCTCAATCCGGTCCGTAGGAGAGCGAGACTGCTGAGAGCAGCACATTTCTTCTCATATTTTTATTTTCAAGAAAAGGCAGGAGAAAAAGAATGAGGGAGGGATGGAGAGACAGAGAGTAGACAGCACTTGGACCGAGGGAACCCAAGACTGAGAGCAGCCAATAACAACCTTGAAGATTTGTTGGAAGGAGTTTCAGGAAGTGGGCCCCCCATCAGTGGGGCAGGAGAGTGGGGAAAGCTAAAGTGGAGTGGACTGACACAGTTTTCTTCAGTATCAAAGTGATCCAATAATAGTTGGATCTGTACATCGGTAGTGCTAATCGCTAATTCGGCATATTTTTAATGGTGCCAACTTTCCAAAATGTAAACAAAGCCCAGCCCACAGCAAGGTCCATGACAAAGTTATACTTCCTGTTTCATTCCTCAAAGCCCCCAAATTAATAGAATTATAGCTCCAAAACCTAGAGCATGATTATCCTCCGAATAAACAAAGCAAATGAATGTCAGCAAAGATTGACAAAGTTTTCTTTATCCTCTCCTCTCTGTCAAAGCAAAAGGACATTTTTTTGGCAGCAACAGATGGCTGAAGCCCTTGAGGACACATAACATAGACTCTACACACACACACATTTACAGGCATGTACATGGTCACAGTAGAAACATGGGTAGACATGAACCTTTTCTGCAGCCATAATCACTTCCACATTTGACCAATAAATTTCCCTACTGTGGGTTTTGTGTGTGTTTATGTTCCCCAGGTTACATGACACTGCCTGTATTTTTCCTCTGTTTTATGGCCACGCATCCCCCAGGTTTCTTTTTTGTTTCCCTCTGTATCTACGTACATCTTTAGGTCTACAAACAATGTGCAGTGTGTGTAGATATATAGTTCGTGCTTTTACCCTCTCCATTCTCCATTACTGCATTTCTAACTCAATATATCAAAAACTATAAACCATGAACCAAAACCAATTTTCTTTATTTCTTCACCAAAGCTCACCAGCACAACAGGATTAACGTTGAGTCATGTTGGGAAATCCAATGTTCAGGCCATAATAGGCCATTACTGTTGACCATGACCGACAGTGAATTACACAACCTTATAAAAGGCTCGTAAGCGTAAGGACGTGTGTATACCCAAAAGCTATTTTGTTGTTGTAGACATTGGAGAGAAATGTTGTTGTCAGTGAGCACATCACTTATTTTCTTGCTACTTTAAACTCACGCTTAGTCAGCCTTTGGTACTCCTAAGTCTGCTCACTAAACCCTGAGTTTAATGTTACATCAAATATTGCCCTGGCTGTCATGGTACCAAAATTAGTATCCATCAGTTGTCTTTTTATGTTTTATATTTTTCAATATTTATTTTGTATTTGTAAATAAATAATTTTATAGTTTATCATAGTTGTGTGTCTGTGGTATATTGAAATTCAAAGCCAAGAAGTGGGTTCTATAAAAGAGACCTGGACTAAACCTCAGAGAAAAATATTGTCTCTCAAGCTATTTAATTAGCTTGAAGGCGCGATGGTAGCCAGCAGACTGCATGGAACATATTTAACAAAAACAACTGATGCTCGGATGTGGCTGGGCCTGTTCCAGGGAGAAAGGAAGAGACGTTTCAAGGACAAGAACATTATGAGTCCGGTATGAGATGTATCGTCTTACCTCAACACACACCTGAGGTGTCAGTGCTCCATCACCGTGCTTGTCTTTCTCCCCTTTGCACATACACACACATACATATGCACTCAAGTGTGTCATGTGGGTGTGTCATTAACACTGAAGCTCAAGATAAAGTGTCAGATGTCACTTTCTCACCAGAACCTTTTTTTAACTCGCTAACAGACAGGCTCATACACATGCACAGAAAATTAATCTGCAAATTTTGATAATCAATGAATAGTTTTTTTTAGTTCCAAGTCTTTGCATGTGAGAATTTGCTGTTTTTCGTGGTCATACATTTTATTATATTAAGTATCTTTGGGTTTTAGACTATTGGTCTACAAGACATATGATTACATCACCTTTAGATACGTCTATTTTAGAGTTTTTATAGACCAAAGGATTAAACCCAAGTATAATTGTTAGTTGTAACCCTACATGCATACATAAACCTACACTTAGAGTCAGGCACTATAAAAACACAGCTACAACATGACTATATATTTCAGCCAAGCAAACAATTGTACCCAAGTTTCCAGCGGAACACATTGTGTGTGTGCTTGTAATCATTCATGTCTGTGCAGGACGTTTTGGTGCTGATTTCCCAACATGTGAGGAATCTAATACAGCAGAAAACTGCACATAAATTAACACAATGCCGGGCAGACAGATGGACAGACAGAGATATACAGTATGCAAAGTCATCATTATATTTATTCTTCCGCCTGTTGCCGCATTTTGTGGGAGATTCTGTATTCGGTGCTCTCCTCTCCCACCTTTTCCTGGCTTGAATTTTCCCTCTCTGTTGGTGGTGAGGCCTCCACCACAAGCACAAACATATTGTGGTCTTTTGTTGTTGCTCTTTCCAGTCCCGCTGCACTCCTGGTTAATATAACAGAGGCTTGTCAGGAAGTACACAGAAAGCCGTTGCTGTGGTAACAGGATAAGTGTGCTGGAAAAATACTCAAAATTTAGTAAAATAAAGGATTTCTGTGCATGAGAAAGGGAAAGAGAGACAAAGAGAAAAGGAAGAAATGTGCATACAGATCTTGGGGCACAAGACTTTGTTTCTCTTTGATATGTCCATTATGAGTTTGACCTTTAATAAGGTTATTTCCAAGAGTTGTGGTGCTTATATGATGTTTTGGCTGAGTCAGACACAAATCAGCATGAAACAGTCGCAGTAGTCCAGATGATCGACCCAGCTGCTAGCATACACACATGTGAACAGCACTTTGTGTTGTAATAAACTTCACTACATCATGTGTAGGATTTGCAGAGGCCTGCTAGAGATCATCTGCTCCCTATATAGAGCACACACACACACACACACACACACACACACACACACACACACATCTGTTAAAACAGTTAGAGAGAGAGGATGGGTGAGTGTTTGTGGATGTGTGTCCATGTGTACCTTTGCATGGTCAGGAATGTAATTCAGCGCTGTTTGACGTATGTGGATTCATAACATACTGTATCTTTGATTCAGTTTGCGTGTGTGCTCACACGAGGGTACACATTTATGTGCAGATTTGTACACAGCTATGGGTCGACACACGTGTGTCACAGGTGGTGAAACCTTAACAAACTCTGATTTCCATCTAAACACCAGCAGAGACTAAACAAGTCAAACATGGAGACAAAGTACTTAAGAGAGTCGCAACAGTTTTCACAAATCCTCCTACAGAGTACTTCTGTAAATACTTAAACATGTGCATCTGTAGGAGTTATGACTGTCGTAATCCAGTGAAAGAGATCTGCGTGAGAAAACCATGGACAGAGAGCACGGCCTTCTAGGGTCAGGGCTTGAGGTCATGGGGTCAGGATTGAATAAACACAAATAGTAACACTCATGGATCTCTGAGCAGAGAAAGAGAGAGAGAGAGAGAGAGAGAGAGAGCACCAGAAGACATCTCTTTGCTGACAATAAACAGACAAGACAAATTTGAGGTATAGCAGTAATTGTCCCTGAGAATGTGCTGCATCAGACACATATACATATAATAGAAACACTGCTCTCTACTTCTACAGTTACTCACGACTCCATTAAAAATCTTTTTCTGACCTCTGTCTCCGTTTTTACTCCATCTCTCTCCAGATGTTGACTGTCAAGACAAAGCAAACTGCCCTCCTTTCTTGTTTGGCATATTATTCTTTAAATGACCCTTTGATTTGTGGTCTTTGGGGCCCTGCTATCAAAACATGATCATCTCTGGCCATTAGCTAATAACAATATAAAATGAGATGATGGCTCAGGTCTCACTCCACTGACTTCCTCCCCTTGTCCTGTTCCCTGACTCAGTTTCTCATTTTGCCCAGGATAATAGGAAAAAGATGTAGCCTCTGTCGTCTCTAATGTAACTGCACACAGCACAGGAGTTGTCTGGAGGTAGTCAGCACTTCAGCCTGTGCGATCATCTGTGCTCCACGTCTGCCTGCCACACAGACATAATGTAAGGGGCGGACGAATCTGAGGTTGTTCCTTGTTGCTTTGGCAATACGAGGTGTTTGAGGTTGTGTGTGATACTTTGAGGGCCGAACAGTAGCAGTACAGTTAACTTTGATGTGTGAGCTGGAAAACAACGTCAAAAAACCCTTCAAGTGTTTCTTTTTGGCAAAGAGGAGACATTTTATTTGTTTAACCTGGCATTTCAACATAAAAAAACATTTAGGCTTTTTCATAGAACATAAGTATCCATGGAAGATATTCGAAATGTGATTTTACGTACATTTTGGTTTTAAGTGACTGTACATTGGTCAGAGTGAATGTGTAATTCTTTTTACTAACATCTGGAGTTAGTGTTCAAGACCTCCTCCCCCCCTCCTTTAAATACCAACTGTGTTACATCAAGATGCAGGGGTCTGTGTGTGTGTGTGTGTGTGTGTGTGTGTGTGTGTGTGTGTGTGTGTGTGTGTGTGTGTGTTGAGAGAGAGATTAAACCAAATTCCTGAAGTAAAAACACAGCCATAGGATGTCGAAGGATCACAAGTGGGGAACGAGGGCGTGTGTGTCGGGGGGAATTAAGAAACAGAAACGATTGAATCAGTAAGGTGGCTAATGTAGGAGAGATGTGAACAACTGAGAGTGTTGTATTAAGTGTATGTGTGTGGGTGTGTGAGAGAGTGAATACAGTTGGGTGTCTCCACTGGTTATCTCCCCATGCAGAACTGATATTCAAATGTTGCCCTTGTTAACCCAGAAGACGTTGACCTGACTGTCTCACTGCAGATGTAGTTTGACTTTAGCGGTAAAAATGATTCTTTGACTTCCACAGAAAATGTCTTTGTCACTGTGTCATGGATTAAATTACAGTGCTTACATAATTAGATGTGAAATAGTAAAGAAATCCTCCTTATCTATGACCTAAAGCACTACAAATGCTCTACTTAAGGTGACTATTATCTTCTCCTGGCTAGTGTTGCTGTTGAAGGTTTGGGCCTAGTTTTATTTTAATTAAACTTTTACATACATACAGTGCATAGAAAGATGATGATATCTTAATTTGTCGTCATTAAGAGACATTGTAGGAGTTGCAGACACTTCTATTGAGTGGTTTAACTCCTACCTCTCAGTTCACTGCCCCTCTGAACTATGGAATACCTCAAGGCTCTGTCCTAGGTCCCCTTCTGTTTTGTATCTACATGCTTCCACTTGGGCAAATCATTAAAAAACAACTAACATTTGTTTTTATTGCACTGCCGATGACATGACACTTAATGTATCTGTAAAATCTGGAACAACCATGAAAGGTCCAGTTTAGGAGGATCTATTGGCAGAAATGTAATATAATATTTATAGGTAGGCTATGTTTTTATTGTAATGTATTGTTTAGTGTATAATCACCCTTGTACAAGGACTATACAGATAATTATCTGGATTATAAACTGCAACATTTCTGTACTGAACTCCTCCTATCCACAAATTGTAACTGTAGCAACTGAGAATCTTAACCCAATTTTTCAGCATTATTTATAGATTGCACTACTTTTGTATGCCCCTTACTGGGTCAGAATATGGGAAACAGGACTGCCAACTCCTGCCAACTTTTAATCATCTGGGACTAACATCTAAAATCCCTTTTTGAAACCATTAATTCTGGTAATTTTTCAGTTCCTAGAAATGTTGTACTTTGGGGTCTATCTATCTATCCCAGCGAATAATGTCTGTTTGGAATACATACTCTCACTCTGCTTCTCTGTCTACATTTTTTAATCTCATTTTTTAACTATGAGTTGTCCGATGTGGGAATATCAGTAGAGCGTAGGTCGCCTGTAGCCAGGCCGAGGATTGATCGATGTGCTGCCCACACAACAGATACGACAGAGAGAGAGAGAGAAAAGAGGACAGATTGTAAGGACAGAGAGCTCAAAAGGCAGGCAGAAAGAAAGTCCTCATTACTATATCCCATTATAGCTGATCAAGAAGGCCTTGCTTTGCACTCGGGTGTTGCCATTGTCGGTCACGTTGCACATAACAATGCACACGTACACTCAACTTCAGCCTCATTGTCACCCCTGTGCTGTTTCACAGGGTTTATCCATAGCTGTACTGGGCTGTTATTCTCACTTCTCCTTACCACTTCACCCGTGCTCAGTCCCTTCACATGTTCATGTGCACTCACAGCTGTGAGCCAGCATACATTCCCACACATCGATCCACGCATGCAGCATTCACACACAAAAAAACGAATGTCCCACTGGTCCTGATGCGTTTTGTTCAGCTCACACACCCGCATCTTGAATCAGTTTAATTGCAGCCAATCCTTTTTTCTGTGGGAGTCAAGTAGAAGTGATGGGAATACTATAGATGCTTGAGTAACTTGACACAGCTAGAGTTTATGTGTGTTTAAGGTGAGGTTAGTGTACATTAAAGTATTAGAGAGGTTGTGTGTGGCATAGCAGCAGACAGAAACCCCCTCTAATTGATTCATTACGCTTAAGAAAGCAGAAAAGATACATTTATATCCACTTGCTTTTGCAGACACACACACACAGAGTAAATCTTCAGCCAGGTGTCGTGAGGCCTCCCCCACAGAGCATGTTTGTGTCTCTATGAGGTTACATATCCAGTATGTGCTCACTGCTCTTAGGCTTAGAAATTTAAATTCACAGCAACTCCAAGAATCAAAGGTGACATCTTAACAATACTGGATTTTTGAAGCAGATATTAATATCTAAGAAGGTTATATTAGCCATTTGTACGCTATGTTTTTACACATAATATAACATAAACAATCAATCATCTTACTGGTCCCTTTGTTGTTGTTGTTTTTGGTTTCTTTTGACAAAATGGACGGAGTGAGTGCAAAAAATTTAAATTACTTATTTATCGGTCGACATACATGCCAATACTGATATATCTGCAATAATATCGTCTAGCTCTACCTCAAAAAGCTTGTTTTGTTCAATCGAACTGTTGAAAACCCAAATATATTCCACTTATCACAGTAGACTAAGCAAATCTGTAAATATTTCCATTTGAGATGCTGAAGTCAGGTCATTTTTAATTACGAAATGAATTCAAGGACTTTTCTATTAACAGTTTCAACTTTACACACGTACCCACTTCATACACATGTTTATTACACCCTAAATAAACTCACAAACAAACCCATCACCTCCTTATTGTACTACTTCAGATTCTCTGCCTCTATCGCACTCCTCTCTTCTCTCTTACATTTACGTCCTAACCAAGAGACGAGGGATATCTGCCGCACACTGATAACAGGGGTGTGGACACACACACACACACACACACACACACATTACATTATCAACGTCAACTGCTGTCCTATCACACAAAAACTGACGAGAGTTTAATAGAAACATATTTATAATTTATAGATTGAACCAACAAGAAGAGAATAAAATAACTG